TGGCCAGAGGAAGGACATTAAAAAAACCCCAAAGAATTTGCTGGGGGGTGGAAATCCCATCCTGACCCCTGCACATGGCCAACAGAAATCCTGAAGCCTGAGCTTCTAGGAATATAAGACAAAAACTGGAAGTGAGCCTGAGCCCTGCCCCCTACCATCACAAACAACCCTGTCAGACAATTGGACTCATAAATTTGTCCAATTGTCTCTCAAAACTCATTAAGTTGTTTGCCCCCACAACTAGTACTGGGAGGCTGTTTCAGAGCCTCGTCCCTCAGAGGGATAGAAACATTCTTCTAATTTCCAGCCTGAATTTTTTCCCGGTCAGATTACACTCCTTTGTTCTTGTGTCAACATGTCCTTTAGCTTAAATAGCTCTTTACCCTCACTAGCATTTACCCCTAATGTATTTATAGGCAGCAATCACACAGTCCTCCTGACTTAGTCTTACAATGGTGATCTCCTCTTCATTCTGTCTGTCCCCTCTCTTGTTCATGACCCTTATTTATCTGTATAATTTAAGGCTGGATTATAACTTTACAATCTGCCTGAAAAAGGGGGTCATGTATAGTTGTGCTGCTCCAGGAAAGGAACAGCTAGGGAAGCAGACTGTGCCTCTGAGCTACTCTCTGCTGTAGGGAGGTAGAAAACGATAACCGGCCTCAACTGGTACAGTGTTCATCAACAAACACCCTAGTCAGTGCACTGAGGGTGCAGAGCCAAGTCCCTGACCTTTTCACATTTCCTCCTGCTTCCCTCTCAGGCTGCAACTAGTGGAATAAGTAGCCCATGCAAGAGAACAAGATGAGGTCTTAGATCTGGTCTACACTGCGAGGTTAGGTCTTATTTAGAATTTACACTCCCTTCCACCTATGCACAGGCACGTAGAGCTAGTGACAATCTAGCCCTTAGCTCTGTAAGCTACTTGGAGGTGGAATCATGTCTTCTTACATGTTTTTAAAGCAGCTTGTACACCTCCTGTTCTATGTAATTGATTTATAAAACAATGTTTATTGCCAAAAAGGGTTTTTTTGAGCTACTCATTATCATCAGAATAGTACAACAGCAGCCAGAAACCTGTTTATTGCCAGCTACTCATTATACAGAATAGTACAACAGCAGCCAATGGGACATATTTGGGATAAAATGCTACAGCGTGCTCAGTGGGCTTGATCCAAAGCCTACTGAAGTCAACAAAAGGAATGACCTATAGAATATAACGTGCACATATCTATAGCCTCCTCCTCCTTTAGATACAACTCTCTTCTACCTTGTTGAAACCATTGACCAGAGTTATTTGGGACACATGAGTCCCTGAGACATAGCATAGTTTAGAAAAGAGCTGGTCAAATAGTAAAAAAAATGGATTTGGGTATATTTTCATGAATACAAATGCCAAGTGAATATGGTTACTGTGATTTGTGGATTGATGTTATTCATTATATGTGAATATTTTGACAACTGCTGGTATCTGAGAAAATATTTGTGTATCCCAAAAGCTACACACATTTTTATTCTAAAATTTAATTCTAGAAGTTTGATTCTCCTGTTTAAAAAAAAATCTGTCACCCTAACATAAATACCATATAATTTAACATAGCACCAGGAACAAATAGCAAACATGGAACAGTCAAAGTGAGGGGGGGCAAACAACTCCGATTCTAAAATTTAGTCTTCTGAACTATTTGCCGAATGTGTATGAATAATTAATATGTTCAAAGAAAATCAGGATGGGTTCACAAATGATTCCCTAGCCAAAAAGTGGGGCTAATTCATAATGAATGTTTTTTTAAGAACTGGTAACAAATAATTTAACCATTATTATCATTAATAATTGTAGTTCGGAGGAATGAGGGAAAGAGTTGAAGTCAGGAACTCCTGGAATACTAATCCAATCACCCTGTGCCATTGGGTGACTCACCTGACCTCTCTGTTTCTCCATCTGAACAATGGGGATATTTACTTATCTACCTCAAATGAGGGAGGAAGGTTTAACGGAGTCATTTGTTAATGTTTGTAAAGTGTTGGCTAAGTGTTGGGTTGTAGTACTAATATATGGGTATGCGCACAACCTATCTGTTGTGATGCTCCACTAATTGTGTATTGTTTCCAAATCCCCAGATACAATCACCCTCTTCTGAGATTGTGAACAACATGTGACAAGTCATAGTCACGATGCTTAATGCAGTACTGGAAGGTATTTGGATACTACAGTGATGAGGGTGACATGAGAACCTATACGGAATGGAACAGAATAGAATATAATACTAATGTATATGTGGTCCCTTGTGTTAATATTTGTCATGAATCAGATACACACTCATCTAGCCACCCCATATGTGTAAGCCTACTCCTAGCAATTACACATTCATGACATGTATAATCTATAATTAAGTAAATATTCCATGTAGGCCTGATAATCTGAAGACAGCATCCACTCTAATTTACATGTCAGGATTACTCCTTTTCTCCCACTGTGACAGCCTAACCTGCTTCATCCATGTCTTAACCTGAGTCATCCAGGACACAAAAATAGGATATGAAAAGGGATCCGTTCCACTGAGAAGACTGCTGCATTTGCACTTGTAGAGATGCAACCCAATTCATGTCTCCTATCACCTATGAGAACCCAGTGATGGGCTCTTGGTCCAATACTATTCAGTATTTTTATCAGTCGTGTAGACGATGATACAAAATCTTTGCTGGTAAAGTTTGCAGGTAACACAAACATTGGTGGGGTCATAAATAACAAGGAGGCTAGGTTACCATTACAAAACAATCTGAATCACCTATTTAAACGATCACAATCGAACAAAATGTGTTTTAGTACAGCCAAATGGAGGATAATACATCTGGGAACAAGGAATGCAGGCTATACCTACAGGATGGGTATAGGATCTGAAACTGCCTGAGGGTGACCCCTGAGGAAGGCAAGGCCTATCACAAGCTTATTGATGGGCAGGTTGAGAAGTGCTTTGATGGCTGTGCTTAGGTACATACCCATGGAAAAGATATCTGATAGTGGAGATCTTTTCACAGGCATAACATAGATCCAATTGCTAGAACTGCAGTGAAACAATTTAACCTTGAGATAGGATGCAATTCCTTAGGTCAATTCACAATCACTTAGAGTCTTTAAGGTGAGATTAGACATGTTTTTAAGAGATATGCTTTAGTCCAGCTTCTGGGAGAAATTGTATGGCCTATGTTTTTGGATGGGTGGGCTGCATGGTCATGGTAGTCCCTTCTGGTTTTGGAATCTGTGAATTTTATGAATCCCCTGTTCATGACCTTCCTTTGTGGGCCAAGAAAAGAATAGGATTACCTGCACTGCTTCAACATGCTCATAACACTTGCAGCTCTGCATTAAGACAATGACTATAATCGGCTCTCATGTCTCAGTTGGTCACCTACAGTGGCCAGAAAAGAATCTCTTTCCCTAATGAATAGTTGGCCAGATGTATTTTGGGGGTTTTTCTGCCTTCCTCTGAAACATCAAGAATTGGCCACAGCTGGAAACAGAACATAGGACAGGGTGGACCAGTGATCTGAGATGATACAGAGAAAATCCTTTTTCTCAGCTGCCTGGCTGGTGTGTGTTTCTCACAGGCTCAGGGTTAAACTGATTGCCACATTTCAGGTCAGGAATGAATTTTCCTTAGGTCAGATAGGCAGGGACTTTGGTGGGGTTTTGGCTTCCTCAGCAGCATAGGAGTATGGATCGCCTGCTAAGATTATCTGGGCATATCTCACCTAAATGATTCCTTGCTGTTGCAGGAGACTCACACCCACTGGTGGCAAGTAGGGGCTAGGAACCAGCTCCTCAAAGATATTTAGCTGCCTAACTCTCAAAGAAATCAGATAGAATTAGGCACCTCAATACTTTTGAGGATGTGGGCCTAGGTTCAAAGTGGGGATTTAGATTCGGTGTTACAATGCCTGAGATTAAGGTGCCCTGCCACCTAATGCCTGGGGAGAGTTAAGTGGCTAAGAAGGGGATTCATAAAAGCCAACAAGCTGACCAGGAAGCCAAATAAGCTAGCCAGTGGGAAATGCCTAAGCCCCCAGCCCTTAAAGGGATATTGAGCCTGAAAGATAGTGAGAATGACTCAGTAGCCCAGCAGCTAGAGCACTCATATGGGTGACCGCGGCTACAGTCCAAGCTCCAATGAATATTTTATTTATACAAGTCGAACAGCTTCATTTATTTCATTTCATTTATTATAACATTCATTTATACAAGTGGAACAGCTTCATCAGGACAGACTGAAAGACAACCTGATCAGAACACCCTACCCTGTAGCCTGGTGCTTTGGGCACTCACCTATAAGATGAGAAATGGAGGGGGAGGGTTTCAGATCTCTGCTTTGAAGCAGGTAAAGTGGGGATATGAATCCATATCTTCCCCATCCCAACTGAGTGCTCTCTTAGAGTATGGGGTGGGGGCAGCAGCACCTCCCTCAGCTGTGTTTTGTGTGGGGTACAATCTGGTAGACAGCTACTAAGCATGCCTACCAGATCAGATAAGATAGGAGGGTGACAGCCTAGACTGAGGATCCTGCTGGGGTTTAGATGTCCAGCTGCTCAGCCGTGTCAGAACAGAGGTTGCAATTCCTAGTAATTCATGATAACAATGGATAATCATAGGGCTAGAGAAAAGCCAGACAATGACTCCGTAGCCCATATCCTGCATCAGAATATGCCATAGCTCAGAAGCGAGGACACTCTCCTGAATGTGGAGAGTATTTGTGAAGTTCAAATACATTCTCTATATCAGGGAGGGAGAGAAATGAATCTGAGTCTACCACATCCTAGGAAAGTACCCAAACCCCTCGGCTAAAGGGTACTAGGAAGCTCTTTCCCACCCCTTCTCATGAATCCAGCCTTTGTTTTTATAAAAATGCCCAAAACTAGAATGAAAATTTTCAGCTCAAAACATTTTGTTTTGACCCAATTTAAAATCTGTTGACTGTTCAATACACTGAATAATTTCATAATGGTTCGATCTAAAACAAAATGGTTTTTATTTTTTTTTTTACTTGCCAGCAAACTTACAAATCCATTATTCATGCAGCTCTAAGTATGATATAGTCTTTAATTACATGATCAACATACTTGTTTTTCCATAGGACCTGGGTATCTCAACTGATTCTGGCCCTGCATGCTAAATTGTTAGAATTATTTGTGCTGGCAACCAAACTTCTTATTTTGTGCACAGACGAGGCAGATATAGAACCCCCACCTTGTCCTCCAGTACCTGCTCTATTAAGGGAGGGAGGTTACGCTCGACACTACCTCCGTTTTCATTGTAACGTGAAAATCGTGCTGTGTGAACAAAGTGCCAGAAATACAAACTGAACAACAAGAAAAACCCCTTCTAATAATTTGATACTGAGTTCCTTTATAAATGGTTACAATAATTTAAAATGCAGAGATTTACATAAATCTCAGCGAGAATCAACTGCTAGCTGATCTTATAATGGAACATGTTTTAGGAGCTTTCTTCTTATAACACACACACTCTTCTCCTCTTCAGTTGGATCCAGATGCCCTTATTTGGGCGAAGTATTAGTTCTCCCACGAGGCTAAGCCCTTCTCGCTCTTGACTTGTTTCCACCCAAAAGCGCCGTAGGATGATGGCTAGAACAGCTCTCTCTTCCATCTGTGCAAAGCGCTGGCCTTCAAGTTAAATTGGAACAAAACCAGTAGTAGTTTAGAAATTGTACTTTCACGGCAAAGGTTTCCCACAAGATGCAGCATGGGAATAACTGTGCATCTGGTGTCACAGATTATAAGCCAATATGGGCCAAATTCAGGGTTGAATGGGTGTGCACACACAGGGGAAATGATAGAATTATGTCTATTTTTTATCCTAAAAGTGGAGTGTGCTGGTGTGGTAGACAGGGAGAGGAATTAGGCAGATGATCAAAGGTTTACAAGAAAAGAGGAGGGGCGAAAAAATAGACAGAAATAAAAAAAGAACTAAGCAAAGTGACAAGGGTCACAGACCAGACAGTTCGCCTGGGTCTACATGAGAAATTGACATCAGTATAGTTTTGTCTCTCAAGGGCGTGAAAAATCCACTTCTCTGAGGGACGCAGCTATACCAACCTAACCCCCGGGGTAGACAGTGCTAGGTCGATGGAAGAATTCTTTCCTTGCCCTAGCTACCGCCTCTCGGGGACATGGATTATCTACACCGAGGGGAGAATCCTTCCCGTCAGCATACACAGTGTCTACACTGAAGCACTGCAGCTGTGCTGCGGTAGTGTTTCAAGTGTAGACAAGCCCTTAGCCAAAGATTTAACTCAAAAGAGGTGTGGATTTAAAAAAGTTGTTTTCTGCTGCATCTCACCCTTCCATCAACACCTACTCTGTACATTGTCTATTCAGACTGCCATCTATCTAGGCAGGAATCATTATGTCTGCAAAGCGTCCAGACTTCTTTGGGTGCTCTAGAAACAATAATTAATTAGCCTGGGTATAATAAATTAGATCAGCTTTCAACACACGAAGATCTGATCAAGAACAAAAAAGTAATCTTTGAGGGGGGGGTTAATTTTAGCTTCACTTAATATTTGGACTCCTGAGAATATCTACTAGAACTTCGCACTGCTGACAGAAGAAGAGCATTGCCCGTGATTCTGTCATTGGGACTGACCCATACAAAATGGAATGAAATCCTGAAAATGAAATGAGATCAGACCCATGGAAATTTACCTTCCTCTCAGTATTTTGACCCATTCAAGGCTGTTAATATAATAGAATAGTGCTTCTAGATGAAGGGTCAATGGAGGGACAGCTTCTCTGACGTCACAACAACTATATAATACATACAATACTCCAAAAGCTCTTTATTTTTGAACACCCATAGCTGTGTTAGGTGCTTCAGAGAAACAATTGCAGACACAGTCCATTCCCTGAACAGCTTACAAGTTTAGGAATTGAGCGAACCCCCCAGCAACCAGTGCAGAAGACAGAGGAGGGTTCTTAAATTTTCCCCTCCAGCCTGCAAGTTAGGATTATTGTATAGCCAGCAAACATATCCCAAGGGAAAGAAAAGACAGACAGTGACTCATGTTGTTCCCTAGTGAGTTGTCAGGGTGTCATTGATGGGTTCTGGAGTCTTGAGGATGTGTCCAGCCCTCTTGAGCAGAACTGAAGTTAGCATGATACAATGCTACATATGGAGCATGTCCCAACAAGGAGGAAAACAATAAAGTGGGTGTAATGTGGACTCTAAAGAACCCCACGGGAAGAAAGGAAATGTTGTGACAATGATAATGTGAGATACTGGTACTGCTTTGCTGCAGTTATCAGCCACAGAGATCTGAAATCTCCATTCAAATTCATAGGCTCTGTTGTGAGTACTACAGCAAAGGCACCTTCACCTAAGTGGTAAGAAAATAACCACATATGGGCCTTATTACACTTTATCATGTACCAATACAGTTTCTGGGTCCAGCAGAGAAGGGCACATATGCATATGGGTGCCTTCCCTTAGAATTCTCAGGGAAGAATCGCTCAGGCCTGAATTCTTCTGGGTCTGGGAAAATCTCCGGTTGTCTGTGCAGCACATAAGGAACCACGATTACCTCTGTTGCCTTTGGTATCTTAAATCCGCCTGCAAAAACAGTATCAACATGCCAGTGAAGTAAGTGGCTTTCTCTAATGGATACAAAGCTCAAAACCAATTCTTGACTTGTGCACCATCTTGACGGAGCAGATATTTATCATACCTAAAATGATGAATACATACAAAAGGCTGAGAACTACTTACTAATATGGCAATCTTCACTTGTGGTGCGGGCAAAAAATGGAACAGAAGGGAAGAGACGAAGGGCTTCTTTAACAACACACTCAAGATATCGGAACTTCTTCAAGTCATCCATTGTGACTGGCCGGTCAGAGTTACCTGATCAGAATCACAACAGGGGTGTGAGAAACAACTGTCCTAATCAGACTAAACACAAGCTAGCTGAAGAGGCTCACAGCTATCTTAAACGATGACAAAACTACAACTGCACCACTGTGCTTACGGATTTGAATCATTTATCTCAATTTTCATTCTTGCGATGTCCTTAAACTATTGTTATTTATTGTTTGTATTGAGGTAGCATCAAAGAGCCCCAGTCATGGACTAGGACCCCATTGTGCTAGGCACTGTACAAATATAGAAGAGATGGTTCTTGCCCAAAAAGCTTACAATGTCAGTACTGAAGTCTGTCACAACTCCCTTAGCATCAGACCAACTCCTAGTGACATCTCTTTCTCCACAGAAGAGTTACAGCACATACAGTGGCAGTAGAGTGGTTTGCCTTTCTATACAGAAATTAATATATAAACCATATACTGTACCATGCAAACTTACACCCACATCCAAGGAAAGAGTAGAAACTTACCAAACACTTCATCCAATTCTCTGTGAACTTTCTTCTGGGCTTCAGGATGGCATCCAAGTAAGTAGATGACCCAGTTCATAGCAGCAGCTGTTGTATCATGCCCCTAGAGGTACAGATTTATTCAGATGTTCAGATCTGCATTATCCTCATGCATATGAAGATAAATATATACAAATAATTAGGGATATTATAGTGGTATAGCCTAACTGTACAGATACAGAAGAAAAGGTAAGACTATATGAATCCATGTAACAATTTGGCACCCAAGACATAACAAAAATAACCAATTATGTAATAGGATGGATGGAGACTAAGATAAGTAAAAAGCTAAAACAAATCATAATAATTAATAAGCAGAAGTCCCTTTGCCATCCCTCTTCTATTACTTAGCTTTTCTATGTTGCCTGGGTGAAGGGTCTTCCTCCACATTCAGTCTCTATGAGGAAGTGGTTTGCCATTGCTTCCTTGTAGACATAAACTTGTTGACCCACTAAATTGCTCTGGACAGTCACAATAATTTAAACATTATATAGCAATCTTAAATTCACTATTTTTTTCCTCAGTCAACTGTTGGAAGGGCATTTGCCCTTCTTCACCACTTTACAATGAAATGTAAGTATGCCTGACTTTTTAGTTACTCACTATCTTTACTATCCCATGATAAAATATACAGTATTACCATCAATTACCGGAAGAAGGCAAAGAAATTTAATTTTGCTAAGATTATATATTACAAACATAAAACTCATCCATTCAGGTACTATATGCTAAAGAAAACAAGATAATGTTCACTAGCAACAGATTTTAGTACACGAAGTTTAATTTTAATCAAATGTACTCTAATTATGCCATAGAGTAATAGCAACCACAGTACAATTAATTCCACTGCCTCTGGGAGTACAGAGTTACATCATCAGAAAACTGGAGCAGTACAGCAGGGAACCAGACCCAGTGTGATCTTTTCCAGTCATCCTGTGTCACAACGGATCTAAGTGTTATGGAAAGGGTCCAAAGACAGCTGACAAAAGCGATTAGAAGTATAAAGAGATTCATTGTGGGAAGAGACTGGGACCATTCAGTTTAGTTGGAGTACCTCAAACATGAAAGTATCCACTTCTTCTCGAATATCCATGTAGCTCAGTTTGTTCCCTTCATCATCAATTGCATTGAGAAGCATATCAAGAAAAGCCCTTCTCCTTTTGGGCCCACTTTGTTCACAGTTGTCATCAAAGTCATCTTTCTGTTGTGTGTGGTTCTTTATTTCACGGGCTTTTTCTTCAATAACCTTAGATATAAATAAATCAATATATTATTTTTTCCACAATTTAGATTCCACAATCTAAGTGTGTGGCCACTGCATACGTACTTTAAAATAACTTTTACCCCAGATATTTAAAAACCGATTCTACCTCTGACTCCATACTATGCACTGGTTGGTGATAGGAAGCGACATCTATACCCACCCCCTCCGTATTTGTTTTCCTATTGTACACTGAGTTTGCACAGGTCAGGGTTGTGAATCATGTAGAATCTGAGTTTTTAAATCCATGCTGGCTCTTTACTTTGATTGTCCTTCATTTCTGAGTCTTCAACACTGTGTCTCTAGTAAGCAATATTATAATACTGTATAGTGATAGTACATCACACAAAATGCTAATCAGCATCAAGTTGTTATAGAAAGAAAGACAGGATTTGAATGGTAACCCATGTTAAGCACACCATTGTAGCTGGAGAAAATTAATTAAAATCAGATGTTACTTTTATGGATTTAAAATTAAGAGAAAATAGTGGACTTTTATAAAAAGTAGGTCATCTCCACGTATATTTTCCTTGCTGAAGTGTATTCATTGGGGTTTTTATTTTTAAGTATTCCATGCAGTCCAAATTTCTATCATTTTCTCAAAATTCAGATCTGAACTGAAATATTTAAGTACTGGACAAAGCACCAGAACAAAGCAGAATGCCGTTTTCAAATATTTTAGCTGTTACAAGCCTTAGGGGGAAGTGCACCAATTATTTTAAAATGTTGAGAACATTGTACGTTAAAGGAATTAGGATGATTCTGTGTGATTTTTTTTTTTACCACCAATTACAACTAAGTCATACTATTACCATGTGAGGGTGACCCATTGACTAAAACCAACACTCAAGCAATGAGTTCTAAGTCACATTATCTCTCCTCTTCAGAGGATTTCTTTAGGGACTGAATATCATAAATATTCAGTTCTCCTATTATATATGTACCACAGATAAGGTGATATTCCCAGTGACTGATTTCCTGTCACCACATTCACAACCTGGAATCTCTATATTTACTACATTATTTCTCTCCTTTAATGGGAACACAATAGAAAAAGGAATAACAGGTTACACTGTCAGTAAAACTGTGAAGGATCTTGAGGCTTCTAGTATGTTCCCTTCCTTCTTTGAACATAGGGTACATCAAGTTAGACCAAAGCCAAGGAGACTTCTGTCTATGATGAATGAGGTCACTCATCCTAGGGTAACAAAAATAGCATTGTAATATTTATTTCTGAAAACATATTCACAACATGACTACAAGAGTCTAATAGGGTCTAAATTTCCTGGTCCTGGACAGGATGATGCAAGCACTGCTTGATGTTGCAGACACAAACCATTTGGTCTAATCTTTAGAGATGCCCTCAATCCATTTTTAATTCATTATAATGCTCACTCCCAGCTATAATACTTTTCACATTTTTATTTATAGAAATGCTTCTGTCCAGTGAAATCTATTTTTCCATACAAAAGCAGTATTAATTCAAGAAGTTTGTCACTATGAAAAAAAAAAACTAGGGTCAACTTTTTCTCTTGGTCACACTAATGTAAATCTGGAATAACTCTACTGAAGTCCAGAATATTAATCTGCATTTGCAAAAGGATCAGTCACAACACAAATTATTGTATAACCAATGCAATGCTTGTTCTAATATAATCTAATGTAGACCCATATGGTCTGATTCTTATGGTCAATAAGGTGCCTTTATACTGCTGTGGCAATAAAAAGGGGCTTTTGAATTAGAATAAATTACAGTTACACCCACTGTAAGCTCCCTTTACGCTGCTATGGTGTGACTAATTTATTCTCACTTCATTGTTGTGTTGCACCTCCTGTAGTCTTTTACACTAACGCATGACGAGTGCAAAACATCATCATTCCGTACTCACTTTGCACTGTGTAAATGCCTATACAGGTGCAAATCAACAGTGAGTTGGGCCCAATGTGCCATATAGATTCAGTGTCCTCATGCCACCCATAAAGAAGACCGAAAGGAGCTGTGGTGACTAGTCCAGCCAATGTTAGCTATGGAAGGGCTGATTTGCAACTGCAACCTGTTCACACCGTTATAGCAGCTGGCCTTGCAGAGCCAATACAGAGGTCTCCTCTGTGCACATACAGCTTGCATAGGTTCTACCATCATCCTGCCACTCTACCTCCATATACACTCCCCCACCCCCACGCATGGGCAATGCAGGACCTAACTTGCACATCAGCGGGCCTTGTGCTTGGGTGAACTGTTGCTCTTGTGCAGGCCTGGTTGTCCTACCAGATTTTGCTTTCGTAAGCTTTGAGGTGCTATAGCTGGCATTGGCGTTCTCAATCCTTCACCAACAAAACTATAAGACAGACATGAAAGATCTACACTTACTTATAAACAGCACGGACATATTCAGAATCCCTGTTGTTCTGCGCACCAACATTCTTGCCCATTGCAGTTTCTAGGAAGAGAAAAGAGAAATTTTTGAAGAGTACATTAGTGGGGTGGAAAGCCCAAAGTACATTGACAACATACGGCCAGGAGTTGCATGAAAGCATTGCAGTCATTTACATCCTCATCTCATGGCATTTCTCTTTTTTTAGAATATGTACTCTCTTTGAGTCTAGTCCTAATATTCCTGTTCCTTTAACTCTCCCTCAGTTTAGATTCCATGTCCCTGTTTTACCCCATAACACAATGTTTGATTGTTCAGATAGACACAACATAATTAAAACAGAAAAGATGTGTTCAGTGTTGATAATACAAAAACAGTGGTACAAAACCAGCAGGGCTTTTTTGTCAATTATCACAACAAATGAAACTGTAGCATTGTGGACAGCTGTACTCTCCTCATCATTTACAGGACTTTTTATAGCAACTGTTGAATCATCACCAGGACTTACCACAGATTATATCCAGGGCACAGAGAGTGATGTCTAGAAAGCAATCAAAGGGCTCTTTGTCAACGTGCTTTTCAAGTTTATCAATCAAAATATTGGCTTGTTCGTTCATAACTTCTAGAAAATCAGCTAAGATTGTGAAGTGGAACGTGGGAGTTATCATTTTCCTTCTGGAACGCCACTTATCTCCAGTGCTACAGAATAAAGAGTTGGAAATTAAGTATAAAAAACCTCACCAAAAAGGAAACAATTAATTGCTTGTGGAAGTGCTCAGTGAACATACAATTCCTGGCACTAGAGTAGCTACAACTGGTAGATAGATTCTTAAAGCTAATCTTTTCAAATGTTGCCAGTGGACAATGTAGTCTTTGTCAGTCCATCTTCATTGATGACACTAAAGAGTGGCTGTAATGACTAGTAACATTTTTCATACCTAAATTAATGTCGGTAGTTGCAGCCAGCACCACTCACCATTAGGGGAAAAATGGAAGTGCATTTTGCTAAAAAAACATCTAATCATACAGTGCTCCTAACAGTTTGGTGCTAACTGTAGCTGCTGCAAGACAAATACGGTGAACAAAATTACTCTAAGGCAAGGGCTGACATTGAGAAGGCACTTGGGGTGTAAGAGGATGAGGATAAGGGTAAATAAAAAGTCCCTTGTTAAATATTTAGCATCCCAGCTGCGGCTAAGCCCATCTTCACTGATAATCGTAAATGGTGGCTGCCCTCATTTTTCCACTATGTAGAAAAGTGAGGTTTAGGGATAGTTATAGCCTAATGTCCAATTTTTTACGTCAGTATCATCTACCAAACGTTTCTCAGAGAATAGGATTCATCTCCCACAGAGCTGTTAAGGTGATGGGACAGAGACTGCCCAAGTATATGTTTCTGTGGTCCCTCCCCGTTGCAGGGAGCTGTTTTTATTGCAGTGAGACCAACTAGTTTCGTTCCTCCCATGAACCTCTTTCAGGGTGCTTGATCCCAGCCTCCCAAGCCATCTGGCTCATTCTGGGTGGGCCAAATCTACTTCACCTCCCCTCTCCTGGGGTGCCACTGATGCTTCTCCAGGCCCCTCTCCCAATTACTGCTAGTCTTTAAGGATGTGCTTGATCTTGCACCATCACAACACAGGCTGGCCAAAGGAGACAGTGGGCCTTCTCTTCTTAGCTACTCTAGCCTGTATGCTCCTTATGCTGAATCCCTACTGCAATCTTAAGAGGAGACCTAGCCTGTGTCTCAGACGGTTTCAGCAGGGAACACAGCATCTTCCTGTTTTGAGCAGGGGAGCTCACAAACCCCCCACCCCTAAATCGCTTATTTTTAAATGTCCCCAAACTGAGCATTTCCTTGAACTGACCCTCCTTTGTCTATTGAGTGAAAGTCAGGAACACAGCATTGCTGAGATCCAGCCACAGTGTTATTCATTCTGAGTCTCTAATCAGCAAAAAATTATGGGGCAAATAATCACTAAAATATTTACAAAAGATCTGAAATGGCAAATACCTACATTACACTTGTGCTTCCAGAACAGCATAAGTAGGTACTATTGCACTGGGGGAGGAGTAAAGTGGGGCCCAGCCAGGGCCACCCCTCCCTCATGAATGGTATCCCCAGCACTGTACAGGGGAGACATCCCTGGTGGACATTAGGTGCCTTCCCTTCCCAGGCACATGTCTGCTGGGGCAAAAAAACAGCAGAGGAGCCAGCCAGAGTCTGAAGCCAGCAGAGCAGCAGTGGAAGCAATTGAAGCAGGCACCCAGGAACACTAATATTTTCCACAGCTTTGACTGGACTTTCTCTGCCTTGTGCTGACTGGGGGAAGGGACTGGAGCAAACAGCCAACATCTCTACTCCTCAGCCTCCCTTCACATCTAACCTTCCCCATATACCTTCCTCCCGTCCTGCTTCTCATCTGCTCTGTCCCTCTCATCACTCTCCTTTCCTGCCTTTTCTGTTGTGTGAATCTCCTCTTAGCCCCCTTCAGAAAAAATCATCACACTAGTATGACATCTGTGCTTTCACATTATTCACTTTGCTTGTGGGTCATATCCCTTTCCCTCACCCTGTGTCTGTCTTGTCTACTTATACTGTAAGCTCTTCATGGAAGAGTGTATCTACTGCTGTGAATGTGTATGGTGCCTAGCACAAAGGGGCCCAAGGCATTACCCTAATAATCATGATTCATAATAACAACAGACTGTCCCTTCAGCAGAGGTATAAGTGTGTATAACTGATAAATACATAAACACACCACCTTTGATATAGCACATAAATCCAAGCTGACTGTGAGTCAGATTCTGTCTGCAAGCTTGCTTTTCATTACACCCCAGCAGCTGCACTTAAAGTTCTAAGAACATAAATGAAGGCAGAATTTAATAATTCTGAATCAGATAACTGGCAAGGTGCTCAGGGTGTGCTTCACAAAGGGAGTTAAGTGCTGAATTCAGATACCTTGTGCAGAATTTAGGTCTAGACTGCTACAAGTACAAAAGGCCCTAATAATGAATGCAATGTTACAGTGGTGGCTAAGGAGCTGCTCTGCAGCTTTGAAGGGTGGAGAAGGATTCTCTTGCTCCATTCCCCCACATAGTGGTGCTCAACGCGTGCACTATTCTCCTTCTTTTGAGCCCCAGGGTTTGAAAATGAGCTATGTTTATTGTGCCACTTGCTCTGCATCTAAGCTGCTCGGTAGCCCTGTTGAGGGGCAGTGTGGTCCAACCGATCAGGTACTAGAATAGGAGTCAAAAGACCTGGGGTTTTGTGCCGCTGTTCTGCTAGATGAACTTGGGAAAGTCACTTCACCTTTCTGTACCTCAGTTTCCCAAAATGTAAAATGAGAATAATATTTACCCTTCTTTTAAAGGCTCTTTGAGATCAACAAATTAGAAGTGATACATGAGAGGCAAGTAGAAGTAGCAATAAAACACACTCAAAAATATTTAAAGGATGGAAGGAAGGGGAAGTAAATGGCAATGAATATAAGTTAAAAATGTAGGCAACTGATATACGAAGATAAAGAAATATATGAAATATCAATGTCCAAATTGGTTAGAGACAATAATAAGGTATTTTTTAAACATATCAGGAGCAAAACAACCCTATGTCAGGTAGCAGAACATTGCTAGATGTAAATGATTTAATTGTAAATACTGATGCAGAAAAGGGAGAAATGTTCAACAGATATTTCTGTTCTGTGTTTGGAACCATGCAGCAGCCTGAACCCATTACACACAATATTGTGGATGGAACAGAAAGGTCAACATCTATAACAAAGGAGAATGTGAGGAAGTGACACTCACCTCTCACGAGCACCCCTTCTGGTTGGATGTGTCTACAGTCTTTCAGTTCTGGTGGCCTCTGCTGGTGGTTCCTCAGGTGGTTTTTCAGTAATTCAGCCCTCTGGCTGAGTCACCCACACTGTCTATATGTGAATCAGAACAGACCCTTTCCAGGATATACAGTCCACCAGAGGCCTGTCTCTCTATCCCTCCCCGAGCTCAGTCTCTAAGTAGTCTCGGCCCTGGTATGGGTACGTGCCCCTGCAGCCCTCCCCAGACTCAGTCCCAGCAACTAGCCAGGAGCTCCTTCTTAGCTCCCCCAGTCACTGCCCAAACTGAGCTGTCTGTTGTCCTGCTGTTCTTTCAGACAGCCAGTAACCTGGTCCTCTCCCTTCCAGCTCCACCCAGCAGCTGACTGCTCTGGGCCTCTTGCTCCTTTTTATATTGCCCTTCTGGCCCCTGATCGGCTGCTCCAGCAGTCTCTCTGATTGGCTGCCTTCCTTGCAATCACTCCTAGGCTGCTTAGAGTACTTCTCTTCTGCTCTTCTCTGGGACGAGGTGTGGCAGGACCCTGAGGTCTCCAGCAGGGGGCCTGTGAGCCTAGTCTTCCCTGGCACACAGCATCTGCTTAAATTAAACATTTCCAAATCCACAGATAACTTACACCCAAGAGCCTTTAAGGAACTAGCTGAGGATCTCTCTCAATCACTAATGTTAATTTTTAACAAATCTTAGAAAACTGAGGAAATGCCAAAGGATGAGAGCATTGCCAATGTAGTTCTAGTATTTAGAAAGGGAAACAGGGATGACCCAAGGAACTATACACTGGATAGCCTGATGCTGATCCCAAATAAAATGATGGAATAGTTAATTTGGGACTCTTATTAAAAAAGAATTAGAGGCTACAAATATAATTAATGCCAGTCAACATGGTTTCATAGAAGGTAGGTCTCATCAAATTAACTTGCTGTTATTTTGTACCTGCTGCTGCGGAGAGCCCCAGGTCCTTTAAATCGCTGCCGGAGCCCTAGGTCTTCCAGCTGCTGCCGCTACCCCAAGGCTCTGGCAGCGGGGCTCTGGCAGCAATTTAAAGTGCTCGGGCCTCCGGCTGCTGCCCGGAGCCTAGGGCCCTTTTAAATTGCCGGCCTGAAGAAGCTGCCCCCTACTGGTACAGTTGGCTGTGCAAAGCTCTTGCAGGTACGCCGTATCGTACCGGCTTACTTTCACCTCTGACAAAGGCAGAACTCAATCCAACAGCTGGAAGTTAGACAAATTCAACCTTGAAATAAGTTGCCATTTCCTAGCCGTGGGGGTAATTAGACTTTGGAACAATTTACCAACGTAGGTGGAAGGCTCATCGTTACCTAGAGTCTTTAAAATGAGATTATATAGCTCTCTAAAAAATATGCTTTAATCCACCTTCAGGCTGGATGGTCATTGTGGGCTCTTTGGGCTCAGAATCTGTGAATTTATTAATTCCCCCCTTCGTCCCTTTTTTCATGGGCCATAGGGAGAAGTAGGTGTGTCTGCATTGCCCTCAGCATACTCATTTACACTTACAGCTCTGTATTAAGACAATGATTATCATCAAATCTCATTCTTCAGGGTTTCAGCCAGTCACCTGTAAGCATCAGGGAGGAATTTTTTCCACAATGCACAATTGGCCAGATTTCTTGTGGGGGTTTGTGTGGGTTCACCCGGGGTGAAAGTAACTAAAGGGACTTACTGGTACTCAGGGCCGGGGCCTCAACTGGAAGGGGCGGGGCTTTTAAATCCCCAGGCCCTTTAAATCACAATTTAAAGGGCCCCAGAGCTCCAGTGGAGATTTAAAGGGCCTGAGGTTCCCAGCCGCTGCTACCACAGCGGAGCCCCTCGCCCTTTTAAATCACCACCAGAGCCCCAGGGCTCACGGCCGCTACTCCAGGGTTCCGGCAGCAGGGCTCTGGCAGAGATTTAAAGGACCGGGGGATCTGGCCGCTGCCCAGAGCCCAGGGCCCTTTTAAATTGCCAGCCTGGGGAAGCTGTCCCCTGCTGGTACGGTTAGCTATGTACGCAGTACCATACCGTACCGACTTACTTTAACCTCAGGGGTTCACCTTTCTCTGAAACATCAAGGATTGGCCACTACTGGAGACAGGACACCAGGCAGGGTGGACCACTGCTCTGAATGGTACAGAAAATCCTCTCTCTCAGAGAATGCCTGGTGTGTCTTGCACACAGGCTCAGGGTCAAATTGATCACCCAATTTGGGGTCAGGAAAGAATCAGCAAGTCAGATGGGAAGGGTACTTGGGCATTTTTTGCCATCCTCAGTAGCACAGTGTGTGGATTATCAGCCAGGATCATCTGTGTGTAGTTTACCTAATCAATTCCCTTGCAAGGGCATTGGGTATTGATAGCACCTTAGTCTTTCTTGTTCTCTGCCCATAGCACACCACAGTTTCGTCTCCTGGGAACTGAAATACTTTACTTTAACCCAAGTGTGACAGATATGGCAACTTCCCGCAATATCCTTGGGAATTAAGTTTACATATGTTTGGGGTACATTGCATTAAATGAATGGTTGTGGGCCTGGATGATCAAATGACTACATTGAACAAAGTAGCAGACAAAAATGGATTTTTGGGATAATACCAGTAAAATGGATTTCCTGGGAAAAATCTAGGGGGAGGTGAATGCAAATTTCACCCCCACCCCAACCCCACCTATGGTTATGCAACTGCACCCTAAGGACAGCACAATCATCAGCTGATTCCAGAATCCCGAGATCAAAGGACCAAGCTGTGTAAAGGAAAGATGAACCTATGCATCGGTGTGCTTGTTCTGAGCAAAAGCTGAATGAACTTGTAACTACAGAAAAACCCTTTGGTGCGGTTGGAAGGACTGACTCCTACCAAAGTCCCTGCTGGAGTAGGGAGTGGTGGGCGGGTCATCTTTGGTAAGCTTTTCAGCACATGTGTAGATTCTTTTATTGTTTTTTATATATTTTCCCTGTAATCCTTTCACCTTAAAAATAAGTGTGCTTGCTTAGAAAGATCTGTGTGGTAACTTATAACTGTGTGCAATTTAACTGTCTATAGCCTTTGGAGAAAAAGCAAAACACAGACACTGGCCTGTTCAGGCAGTCTGGCTTGCTGGGAATATCACAGTATAGGCAGGGAACCGTGCAGCCTAGAAAAACTCCATCAGGAGGGAGAGAGACATGAAAAGGTGATGGGTGAGGAGTTGGGAGCCTAGAGTGGGTGCCCTTGCACATGGCTCGCCTTGAAGTTCATGAAGCTGAGTCTGAGGACAGCTGAGGGCTAGCTCAAAAAGACTACTTGTGTCATTTGTGTGGGGACAATATTTGATATTGCTGGATTATAATTGACTGATATTCTTTTGCTGAAAAATTAAAAGTTGTTTCTAACGATTATGAAAGCTCGAGCTCAGTGCATCCAAGTGAGGTCTTGCTACATCATTTGCTCTAAAGTCCCATTCACATTCCTCACATCACATTTCAAGAACTGATCCTTTCTAGACTCCAGATGGTGGCAGGAGGACCCCATTTTATGGCCCTGCAGGCGATACGTGGGCCTAAAGCTGCTCTTTGGGCATCTGTACTTTAGATTCCAATATTCAGACACTAATTATGCCTTTTATTCTGCCTATTAGCGAATAAAATATAACACATTCTAGTCTTCAGGCAGTAAATATACATAATATCTTAGAATTAAACTTTGCATAACTTTAAAGGTACATGACTCTATTTATATATTACTATACCTTGTCAGAAGTCCTGTGCCAAGCCATGGATGTAGAAATTTGTACAGAAAAGATTTTTCTATGTGCTTTGAACTGTTCAGAACAACCTACCAGCAGGAGAAAAGACAGAGGGGAAATATCTCTTTAAAAGAAGAAGTTGGTAACACTGTATACTCATCCTATTTTTAAGGAGGAGGGCACTTGCAAAATATATTCAAAGATATGACTGCTCTCCTATATACTTGCACACTCATTTACAATCAGAGATTGCTTTATATGGCTCAGTCAACTTTACAAACCCTGGAGGTACAGGAGAGGTCATTAACAAGGAAATATTTATCACAATAAAAATACATCACTTTGACTGTAAGACCAGGAAAATGTTCCAATGGATTGTAATACTCAATAGTCTGAATGCGACATTCCTTTTTAATATATTGCAATATCTCCCAGGCCAAAGAGAAGCTGGATATCTGGACTGACAACCTGAACTGCAACAGAGGTTCTGTCTCTCTCATGTGACTGGTAAAAGTACATCTTCCTAACAGTAATATTAAACACGAGACACAGAATATAATTATTTATGTAATATATCTACAAACTTTGCCCAACTAGAGTAGGAGTCTTTTTTGGGAAACAACACCATCTTGTGCAGAATCTAAGCTTTCATTTTTAAAGTTAGGTTTCTAGCCCTTCGTCTTGTGAAAATAACTTGATTTCTGGTTGGATGGTTTACACCAAGGCAGCGACATCTTCCCAAGACAAAGGAGGTCAGTCTCCGGAGCGGGGCTGAGAGCGAGAACCACATGTTTATGAAGAAGAGTCTTTTCAGAGGCAAAAAATGGGTTGTTTTCTTGAGAAAGGGCGGTGGACATAAACACAGACTCTTATTAACAGTAAGATAAGTCATTTTGTCAGTCTCCTGGAGTTTTAGTTGGGCTAGTAGATTTTTATAGGAATTCTGCAGGTATAAACTGGTGCTGTGCTTCCAGGGGCTCTCCAAGCAGCTCATTTAACTACCCCTCTTAGCTCCATAGAACTGACATATCCCCAGAGAAATTTCCATGGGGTCAGGAGGAATGGGCGAGCAAACTAAAGAGGCAGATTTACTCCAGTCCATGACATACGGTAGAAGGGGCTCCTGGGGTGACGCTGAGTCAACCTGAATTTCTTGGACATATATTTAAAGATTGAATTATATACACACCTAGAGGCTGATGGTAGTGGGCAGATTTTATACACTGAAATACATAAACAAGTGTCCTGATAATCAGTGGCAGAAGAGATACCTGAACAACAAAGCTGCCTTAAGGCTACTCTAAATAATGCATTCTCCTTTATAAAATAATGCCTATGGTTTTAATTAAAACACTTTTTTCAGTTTTAATCTGATTGATGTAAGTTAAATCATTTCCATCAGATAAACTGTCTGTCCTCAAGTCCTGTTGAGAGATTTCTTTGTATGCACTTTATTTAATAAATACAATAAAATGTATTCACAAAAAGAAAAGGAATACTTGTGGCACCTTAGAGACTAACCAATTTATTTGAGCATAAGCTTTCGTGAGCTGCAGCTCACTTCATCGGATACATACTGCGGAAAGTATAGAAGATCTTTTATACACACAAAGCATGAAAAAATGGGTGTTTACCACTACAAAAGGTTTTCTCTCCCCCCACCCCATTCTCCTGCTGGTAATAGCTTATCTAAAGTGATCACTCTCCTTACAATGTGTATGATAATCAAGGTGGGCCATTTCCAGCACAAATCCAGGGTTTAACAAGAACGTCTGGGGGGGGGGGTAGGAAAAAACAAGGGGAAATAGGTTACCTTGCATAATGACTTAGCCACTCCCAGTCTCTGTTCAAGCTAAGTTAATTGTATCCAATTTGCAAATGAATTCCAATTCAACAGTCTCTCGCTGGATCTTCGAGACACCACTGACTTCCTGAGGAAACTACAATCCATCGGTGATCTTCCTGATAACACCATCCTGGATCTACTACCCAAGATCCATAAACCTGGAAATCCTGGGCGCTCCATCATTTCAGGCATTGGCACCCTGACAGCAGGATTGTCTGGCTATGTAGACTCCCTCCTCAGGCCCTACGCTACCAGCACTCCCAGCTACCTTCGAGACACCACTGACTTCCTGAGGAAACTTCAATCCATCAGTGATCTTCCTGATAACACCATCCTGGCCACTATGGATGTAGAAGCCCTCTACACCAACATTCCACACAAAGATGGACTACAAGCCGTCAAGAACACTATCCCCGATAATGTCATGGCTAACCTGGTGGCTGAACTTTGTGACTTTGTCCTTACCCATAACTATTTTACATTTGGGGACAATGTATACCTTCAAATCAGCAGCACAGCTATGGGTGTTGGATCATATTAAAGAAGTTCTGTATTAAAATCACAAATGAGTTTGATTCACCATAGTTTAAATTCCAGGGTATTACTAATTAAGAGGTCTCTTGGTTTTTGGTACTGTTTCTCTCCCTCTATGTGTGAAACTTGCAAGCTGCTAATTGTGTTAGTACATTCTAAGACAGAGTCTGTTCTCAAAGCAATTCACAGAGAGAGAGACTCAAAGCAATACTCTAACAACAGAAACAACACCCAGAGACTCCCCACCCTTTTGTTGTATTAACAATTGTGATTAAAATAGAGATAGAGGATGTATGTGGATGGATGCTTGGTGTGGATAATAACTGAATGATCAGGGAGGTGCCAGCCTAAGAATCCAGTGTCCATCGGCTGAAGAAGGCGTCAAGTGGAAATAACCAGAGGACCCCCCGGAGGGCAGACTGGAATCCACCCAACAGCCTCAAGAATGGGAGAACCAAAGAACAAGATAACATCTTGGAGCCGTCAGGAATGTGCTATCTGCTGATTGATTCAGCAACAGCATGATGAAGCAATTCCCATAGACTGGCATAGGAAGAAATTCCTATAAAAATAGACTCTAAAAAGTGAGAACTTTGGGGGTCTGATTCTGCAAACCAACTTCCAGGAGCATCAGATGAGCATCTGACAAGGCCCTGCTCCCTCCTCATGTCCAGGCCACCTGGCCAGTGGCTTGGCATGAGCAACTCTAAGGCTGGTAACTATGATAACAACCTTGCAGAACCTGTGTGTGTGTGTATGTGTGTGTTTGTATGAATGAATGTGTGAATAAATATGAGATTGAATGGAATGTTATAACTAGAACTAACTGCTTTCTATGATTCTTTCTGTATTCACAATAAATGTGGTATTTTGCCTTTTTCCCTTTAATAAGATCCTGCTGGTTTTTATTTTATTGGTACAACATGGGTACCCGCATGGCCCCACAGTATGCCAACATTTTTATGGCTGACTTAGAAAAACGCTTCCTCAGCTCTTGTCCCCTAACGCCCCTACTCTACTTGCGCTATATTGATACACCTTCATCATCTGGACCCATGGAAAAGAAGCCCTTGAGGAATTCCACCACGATTTCAACAATTTCCATCCCACCATCAACCTCAGCCTGGTCCAGTCCACACAAGAGATCCACTTCCTGGACACTACAGTGCTAATAAACGATGGTCACATAAACACCACCCTATACCGGAAACCTACTGATCGCTATTCCTACCTACACGCCTCCAGCTTTCACCCTGACCACACCACACGATCCATTGTCTACAGCCAAGCTCTGCGATACAACCGCATTTGCTCCAACCCCTCAGACAGAGACAAACACCTACAAGATCTCTATCAAGCATTCTTACAACTACAATACCCACCTGCGGAAGTGAAGAAACAGATTGATAGAGCCAGAAGAGTTCCCAGAAGTCACCTACTACAGGACAGGCCTAACAAAGAAAATAACAGAAGGCCACTAGCCGTCACCTTCAGCCCCCAACTAAAACCCCTCCAATGCATTATTAAGGATCTACAACCTATCCTGAAGGATGACCCATCACTCTCACAAATCTTGGGAGACTGGCCAGTCCTTGCCTACAGACAGCCCCCAACCTGAAGCAAATACTCACCAGCAACCATATACCACACAACAGAACCACTAACCCAGGAACCTATTGATCAAACTGGACAGTCTCTACGTAAAAGAATAAATGGACACAAATCAGATGTCAAGAATTATAACTTTCATAAACCAGTCGGAGAACACTTCAATCTCTCTGGTCACGCGATTACAGACATGAAAGTTGCGATATTACAACAAAAAAACTCCAAAACCAGACTCCAGCAAGAGACTGTTGAATTGGAATTCATTTGCAAACTGGATACAATTAACTTAGGCTTGAATAGAGACTGGGAGTGGCTAAGTCATTATGCAAGGTAACCTATTTCCCCTTGTTTTTTCCTACCCCCCCCCCCCAGACGTTCCTGTTAAACCCTGGCTTTGTGCTAGAAATGGCCCACCTTGATTATCATACACATTGTAAGGAGAGTGATCACTTTAGATAAGCTATTACCAGCAGGAGAGTGGGGTGGTGGGAGAGAAAACCTTTTGTAGTGGTAAACACCCATTTTTTCATGCTTTGTGTGTATAAAAGATCTTCTATACTTTCCACAGTATGCATCCGATGAAGTGAGCTGTAGCTCACGAAAGCTTATGCTCAAATAAATTGGTTAGTCTCTAAGGTGCCACAAGTCCTCCTTTTCTTTTTGTGAATACAGACTAACACGGCTGTTACTCTGAAACCAATAAAATGTATCTCACCCATATATCACTTGCTTATAAAACACAACTGTGCCTCGAAGATAATAGCACAACACTGACATTTTAAATCAGTAGATCATTAACACAGTATCTGCATTCAGAACCTCTTAAGTTGATCATGCAAAGTGAAGTTCAAGGTTTTCCACAGTCCAAAACCTGGATAAACATTTCCTCTCACTTAGCTGAGAATCACAGAAGTATTGTTAATCAACGTAAAGACACAGAACAAGAAATTTTGCATTTATCTCCAAGCAAACTACAAACCATTCAGGGCTAGACTGCACTATTTGCACACTGCCATAATAAAAGGGATGGTACTCGCACCCCTGCAGTGAGAACACCAGGGGTATTGTGTCTCAGCTGGACTGACAGGGAGTGATTTGTGTCACTCCTTTAGCTCAGGCAGCATACCACTGCGAGGAGCATCTGGCATGCAGTCCCTATGCTCCCCTGAGTGCCTAGAGCTATAAAGCACCTGCACAAAAGTAGGGAGGGAGGGCAGGCAGGGAGGAGGAGGAGACCAGCATGAAGCCTAAGCTGTAGAACTAACAAGAAGTTTGGTGACTGGCATCTGTGCTTCATGACCAGCCATTTTCAATGTTTACTATAAACTCTGGAGATGAAACAACACAAAATTTCAAATTAGGGAATAACTGTCATAAATTGTATGACTTGTACAAACAAATCTATTAAACCTGAGATACAAACACTCACCTCTACAGCATCTGGATGATATAAAATCACAAAAGGCAATGGTCCTATCCAAAGTTTTAGCAGTGGTAGATTCCTGTATTCTTCAAATTTGTCTACTATTTGTTTAAAGAAATCTGTGGGGGGGAAAAATCAATTTGAATAGGCCAAAACCAGAACTTCTGTAATCATGTAATTGATCATGAGTTCACCGTAGTGTTAGTTTTGCTACCGTGACAAAGCAAGTATGTTTTGCACTTATTTATTATTTTGATCATAGTAGCACAGAGGGGTCTCAGTCGAGATTGTTATAAGTACTGTACAGACACAGGAATCTTGCAACTTAAATAGAAAGGACAAATGAAAGAGTATAAAGGAAATATTTTTATCCCCTTTTTACAGATGGGGATCCAACACACAACAGGTTATGTGACTTGCTCAAGGAAGTCCATTGCAAAAGAAGACTATGACTTGCCAAAGGAAGTCTTGCCCAAGGAAGTCTATGGCAAAGCTAGAAATTGAATACATTTCTCCAGAGTCCCAGTCCAGTGCATTAACACAAACCCATCCTCACACTGATTAATTTTTCTGAACAACATGGAAGACGGAATATAAATCTTGGGTGGGGGGAGGTAAGGATCATCTATTAAGTACAAGAGAACCTCTACTAACTGACTTTATAGACATTAATTGAGTCCCTCTAAAATGACACCATGAGCATCTGAGATAAAAGGGGAAATGAGATTGTGCAGATTAATAAATCATTCCACAATAATGCTAGAGTCCCACATTCAAAAGAGATTTATACACAAAAGACCAGAGGGTCACCACCTATTATAAACATTGCCTGACACTTTCCACTGTAAGGCCTCATTTTTAGTTGCTTATAATTTTGCCAAACTTTAACAGTTTGGGTTGCAAATTTCCACGCCAAGTGCCCACCTCAAGCCAAATTTCAGCCAAAACCATTCAGTTGTTTTGAACAAGTTGAACAAGGCTAAGTACAAATATGTTGTTGTTTTGCTCATGTTAAAAAATTCTTGAGACCTTTACTTTTAAATGCCTTAACACCTACTTGCAAGGGAGTGGACTGTGTGTCAGGAATGTACCTTGTGCCACCCCAGTAAAAATCCACCCAAATTTGACCATCTTTAGCCTTTGAAAAAAAACATTTTGTACTTGTTCAATAGAGACTTGCTGGGTTTTAAAAGCTAAAAATCTCTGAAGATTCCTTCTTCACTGAGCATGCTTGAGTCTCTCACAGCTCCTTTGTGTGACCACACATTTTATGTGCCATCCCTGCAGAGCAACTGGCTATGCTGCATCCCCTCCCCACCCTCACATGTGACCAGACCATGCATGTGCCATCCTCACAGAGTGACTGAGCTGCCTCCATCCCCTCAACAGCTCCTGCGTGGGACTGGACTGCACATGCCCTCTCCAGCCAAGGGTTACGAGGCTCAGAAGAACTTTCCCCATAATGGCTGCTTCAGCCCAGGGTGCAACTGGGCACCACAACTCAGAGCAGGGAGCCTCTCTCTTCTGTGCTCTCTATGACCCTCCTGCTGGTACCCAGGCAGCATGGAGAAGGAAACTGCAGACGAGGAAAAAAGTCAGACTGGGGGGAAGGAAAGGAGTAGATTGGGACAAGAGAGCTAATGAAACTGGGACCAAGGGGGGAGAGAAACTCTGACTGGGATTGGACAGGGAATACTGGGCTGACTGGGCAAGGAGACTGGGAGCTGGGGAAGGAAGGGCATGTTGGGATTTGTTGGGTGGGGAAACAGGGACTAATTGGGCAAGGAGACAGGAATCATTGAGGGAAATGGGAAGATAGGGGACTAGGATACAGTTAGCTGGAGGGCTGGGTGGAGGGAGGGAAACTGGGACTGTCTGGCCACAAGACGAGGACAAGGAACCAGGGGGAAATGGGAGCAGGTGAGAGGAGAGACAGATCTGACAAGGAACTGGGGAGAGTGGAAGGAAGTGAGACTGGCTGGGCAAAGAGACTGGGACAAGGAGCTAGGGAGGGAAGAGAGAGATACTGAGACTGGATAAAGAATCCCGAGAGGGAGACTGGGACCGACAGACAGTACAAGAGGGAGAGAAAAGGCATATCAGATGAGGAGCCAGATGGGAAAACGGAGAGTTGCTGGGCAAACAGACAACGACTGGATGTGGGGACAGGGAGAGATTTGGAATCATTGGGATATTTGGATTCAGACAGTGAGACCAGAGGGGAAGACAAAGACTGGCTGGGTAAGAAGACTGGGACTAAGATAAAAAGCCTGATAAGAGGTGACTGGGTAGGCAAGGAGGCCAAGGCTGGAACAGGAACCCAGAAGTGAGGAAGATATAGGACTAGAACAGGGATAGGAACAGGTTGGAGGGAACAGGGAAGAAAGGGATCAAAGCTTGGGGAAAACAGGCAGAAGAGTTTGTGGAGAACATAAGCCTCCAGAGTCTGGAATAAAAGCCTAAATTCCTGAATCTCATCATTCCTCTGTTGACAACAAATATCTGTGACACTAACTGGCAAATCTGTGTCTCATCCCTCTCTAGTGCTGGCCCACAAAGAGATGACACTGTACTATTGCTATCAGATACTCCATTAGTTTAAGTGGCAGAGGTCTGTGCAGTGGATTTAATGGTCTCAACCTTGCTGATGAACCATGTGGGAGTCAATCCAATGATGGACTACATGATGGAATTTCTGTGTTTTCAGCTTGCTTTTTTAAAAATTCTGAAAATTATACACACACAAACTATGTTTAAAAACATTGTTAAGGTTAAAAAGTCAATCACTTAAAAGTTAGGAAATGCCAGAGTTAAGTGTCCCTGTGCATCCTTAAGAATATACATTATGATACAGTCTTTATCTACATGATCACATATTTTTTTCCATGAGCCCCGTGCCTGATTCAGTGAATGGGATGGAACTGCTCTGAGGATTAATCAGGGCCGTGTAAGTGAAGGAATCTGCTGTCTGTAGGATCCCTGCCTCATATGTTATAGAAAAGGTGCATAGTTTGGGCTCTACCAAATTCACGGTCCACTTTGGTCAATTTCACAATCAGAGTACGTTTAAAATCATACATTTCATGATTTCAGTTATTTAAATGTGAAATGTCATGGTGTTGTAATTGTAGGGGTCCCTACCCAAAAAGGAGCTGTGGGCAGGGTTGCAAGATCATTGTACAGAGGGTTGCAGTACTGCTACCCTTACTTCTGTGCGGCTGCTGGCGGCACCACTGGCTGTGAGAGTGACGGCTGCTGGCCGAGAGCCCAGCTCTGAAGGCAGAGCTACCTGTAGAGCTGGGCCCTCAGTCAGCAGCTGCCACTCTCCAGCCACCCACCTCTGAAGGCAGCAGCGCAGAAGTAAGGATGGCAATGGTATGGTATTGCTAACCTTACTTCTGCACTGCTGCTGGCAGAGCGCTGCCTTCAGAGCTGGGCACCCAGCCAACAGCCGTCGCTCTCTGGCCACCCAACTCTGAAGGCAGCACAGAAGTAAGGGTGGCAATACCACAACCCAACCTAAAATAACATTGCAACCCCCCTGCAACTCCCTTTTGGGTCAGGACCCCCAATTTGAGAAACACTGTTTCTTCCCTTCCCCTCTCCGCTCCCCCTCCCCCATGTGAAATCTGTATAGTATAGGCGACAAGAACCCAAAAGACCACATTTCACACGGGGGAGGGGGACTTCACGGTAAAGCTTTTTTCATGGCTGTGAATTTCGTAGGGCCCTATGCATAGCAGATGAGGGCAAGGGGTTGCAGGAAGAGAAAGGAGGATCTGGTAGTTTAGATAGTGGAATTCTGCCCTGGAGAACTGGCTTCTATCCCACCCTCTGCCACAGAGGGTGATGCTAAGCAGGTCACTTAACCCACATTTTCCACAGGTAGTCATTAATTGTGTGTTCCTCATTTTCTGGATGCCCAAACGTGGCCTGTTCAGGAGAAGTGCAGGGGGCTCATAATTGCAGCTGAAGGCAGTGGGAGCTGTGCTTGAATATATAAAGTGTGATACATTGTTAAGTACTATAAAAAATCAGGTCTTCAGCATCTCAGATTGAGCACCTAAAATCAGTGGATATTTTTTACCTTAATCTCTCTGTGCCTCACTTCCCCATAATAACACCCCCTCACCTCACAGTGGTGATGCAAAAAAATTAATTAATTAATGTTTGAGAAGCAGATGGATACTACTGTGATCAGTATCATAGAAGAGACCCCGAGGAAACTAATAATTCTATCTTCATATCAGAATTTGACTAGCATGCAGTAAATACAGCCTATGGCAACATACTGAACTGTGGGGTTAAAACAAAACATTGAATAGCTGCTGCATTAACTGAGCACTGTCCATCCTACATGCAGAATGACGCTGGGGTCCTATGGAAAATATAGTATGTGATCCTGTAATTAAAGACTAGATCATAATCCTTATGCACAAAGAGAGCTCTTTTAAGGTTGTATAGCCAACCTTAATTCTGGCATTTCCTAACTTTTGAGTGCTTGACTTGAAAACCTTCATAATGTTCTTTTAAAATAAATTTGTGTGTGAGATAGATATAAATGTAGCAAATGCTGTCTTAGGCCCTGAACTTGCAAGGAATTCCACACAGGCAGCCGCCTGCACCAGAGCAAATGGCAGGACTGTGGCCCTAGTGTATGTCTTTTAACCCACTTATGTCATAGTACAAAGTCAGAAATGACATGTAAAAAGAGCAGTGCAGCCAACTAGATCTTCATCAGAATGTATGATGCAAAAGAAACACATTTAAACAACCCAGAACCTTGAAAATTTCCCTGGTACTGGCAAGACATACCTACAGAAGCATTATTTATGCTTACCCTGATCAAAACAAAATTCTGCTTTTAAAGACACTCGTTGGCTTTCCAAATAAAATACTGTAACATTTCCAAATCTGAGCCCTGTCTGCTCTATAACTGGTTTCCAGGCCCTGGGCCAGGAATTGAAACAGGAAGACTTGGAATCTTCCCTAAGCGAGAGCTATTGGTTTCCGTAGAATCTAAGATTTCTGCTTCTTGTGGTTGTGAAGATAACTTTCCAAACATGACCCAAGTATGATCTGATGCAGCATTTCCTGGTCTTTCATAGAATCATAGAAGATTACGGTTGGAAGAGACCTTAGGAGGTCATCTAGTCCAATCCCCTGCTCAAAGCAGGACCAACACCAACTAAATTATCCCTGGCAGGGCTTTGTCAAGCCGGGCCTTAAAAACCTCTAACGATGGAGATTCCACCATCTCCCTAGGGAACTCATTCCAGTGCTTCATCACCCTCCTAGTGAAACAGTGTTTCCTAATAGCCAACCTAGACCTCCCCCACTGCAACTTGAGACCATTGCTCCTTGTTCTGTCATCTGCCACCACTGAGAACAGCCGAGCTCCATCCTCTTTGGAACCCCCCTTCAGGTAGTTGAAGGCTGCTATCAAATCCCCCCTCACTCTTCTCTTCTGCAGACTAAAAAAGCCCAGTTCCCTCAGCCTCTCGTCATGTGCCCCAGTCTGCTGATCATTTTCATTGCCCTCCGCTGGACTCTCCAATTTGTCCACATCTTTCTATAGTGGGAGGCCCAAAACTGGAGCAGGTGGCCTCACCAGGGCCAAACAGAAGGGAATAATCACTTCCCTCGATCCGCTGGCAATGCTCCTACTAATGCAGCCCAATATGCCATTAGCCCTCTTGGCAACAAGGGCACACTGCTGACTCATATCCAGCTTCTCATCCACTGTGATCCCCAAGTCCTTTTCTGCAGAACTGCTGCTTAGCTAGTCGGTCCCCAGTCTATAGCAGTGCATGGGATTATTCCATTCTAAGTGAAGGACTCTGTACTTGTCTTTGTTGAACCTCATCAGATTTCCTTTGGCCCAATCCTTCAATATGTCTAGGTCACTCTGGACCCTATCCCTACCCTCCAGCATATCTACCTCTCCCCCCATCTTTGTGTAATCGGTGAACTTGCTGAGGGTGCAATCCATCCCATCATCCAGATCATTAACAAAGATGTTGAACAAAACCGGCCCCAGGACCGATCCGTGGAGCACTCCGCTTGATACCGGCTGCCAACTAAACATCGAGCTGTTGATCACTACCCATGGAGCCCAACAATCTAGCCAGCTTTCTATCCATCTTATAGTCCATTCATCCAATCTATACTTTTTTAACTTGCTGGCAAAAATACTGTGGGAGACCGTATCAAAAGCTTTGCTAAAGTCAAGATATGTCATGTCCACTGCTTTCTCCGTATCCACAGAGCCAGTTATCTCATCATAGAAGGCAATCATGTTGGTCAGGCATGACTTGCCCTTGGTGAATCCATGTTGACTGTTCCTGATTACCCTCCTCTCCTCCAAAATGCTTCAAAATGGTTTCTTTGAGGACCTTTCTAAATCAACAGAAAGATTGTGCTGGTTAGGCTTTTGGAAGGGGAAAGAGCTGCCACCGTTAGGAGAAGGGTTCCATGTGTGTAAGTTTGTAGGAGGGCTGCACTTCCCACCTACTGGAACAGAGACTTGAGTGCAGTCTCACCTCCTAAAGCAAGAGTCCATGGGAGTATTCAGTCTCCCAAATAGAAGGCTCTTTGGGTGTAGGTGGGGACATCAACAACACCCCATCGCCCCTTAGAAACAGTTCTGTGGATAAGAGTCTCTCTTGCTATAGCAACAGAGGAGGAGGATGCTAAGTCCATCAACCACAACCTACCCCAAGCAGAGTTTCATCTAGCTCTCAACACAGACACAGCTGTCTGTTGGGATGGCCAGAGGGGCCCCAACACAGGGCTCTGTGCCGAAATGTCTGCTCATAGTTTTAATTGTCCCTCCCAGGAGTTTGATTAAAGGATAAGGGACCCCTGGGTCTTTGAGGCTCTTGAGGTGTTAGTGCTTCAAAGCTCCACCCTCAGAATACCTATGCTGGCCTGGTGGCTAATTGAAGCTGCTCTTTGTGAGCACTTGTGCACCAACTGGGACCCAGTGCCTCTAGATGGGTTCCCTGCCCAAGTGTAAAAGGTCCAGGCCATTGTAGTTTCTCATGGTGGCTGTGCTGCAGCAAAGAGCTCTGGGGCAGCTTGGAACTTTAAAGCTCCCATCTACAAGGCCTGTGCTGGCAGCTGTTGGAGCCATGGAGTGGGAGGTGCTGAGAGGAGCCAATGTGCCCCGCTGCATTTGCCTTAGCTCCAGCAGGTAGGGAAGGGTCCAAGAGGTTACATAACAGTTATATATAATGTGCTACAAATCGACTTTGTGTTGTTTCTCTAGTAAGAGAGTTGTGGCAGATGTACTTTAATTACACATAAAATAATTACATAAGATACTAAGTCCAGCAGTTATATAGTGTTATAAAATGTGGACTTCATATTTTACAGATAGAAGAACACAACGTGAAATACAGCTCACAATTTATAACCTATAGTACATCTATTATACTTCTGTTTTGCCACAGAAGCATTTTGTAGATGGAAGGCCATATCAATCTATATTTTAATGAAAATTCTACAAGTGTGAGAAGGGCAGGATTGGGCCTGTACATTTAGCAAAAAGCTAACAATAAACCAGATCAGCTACCTTTTGGGATATCCAGACACCAGATAAAATTCACCGTATTAGGTGTTCAGTTGTTGTAAATCAGCAGCACTCCACTGAAGACACCGGATTTACACCAGTTGCAGGTCTGGCATATTGTTTTCCCAAATGACATCAAAAAGAAAAAACTTCACCAGCAGGAGCATTAAACCTACATTTATAGTATTGTCTTCTTCAGCACAACCACCACACCCACCCTGCAGCAAAGTTAAGCAAAAAAATAATCCTTTTTCTTCATTCCACTTCAGGTATAACTTACCTGAAAGATCCCTTTTGTTAAAAAAAAAATCAAGGCTCAATAATACAGCACAAAAGCCCATAGTTGCACAGGTACAAAAAGCACAGAAATCCATGCTTATTGATATTTTTACTATCTCACTGGGGAGAAAGGCACAGTAACTTCAGCATCTTAAGACTCATATGAATATAGGTGTATAAAAAAGTCTCACAGTAGAAAAAGAATTAGTAATGTCCGATTTGTCTTGAAAATCAGAGGAGCATAATGAATGGACTCATAACACTGTAATGTGGAACTGTTCCAGTTTTGCATAAATACTGCATACACTTTGAAAGTTTGTTCTGAAACAACAATTCCTATGTACATAACAAGCTCATCTAATTATGTAATTATCCAGCGCTTTAGCATAAGACTCCTTTACCGTAGAATCTAGTGGGAAAGCATGTACCATGGCAGTTGTTTTTAAATGTATTAGCCATAAAGAGGCTGACCAATGATCTCTAAAGTTTCACTGAAAGACAAGAAATGGATTTCAAAGCATACAGGGGTGGAAAGGTAGCTTCTGAAAAAGGTAAACTTCAAAATGTCCTTTTGAACTCTTGAAAGTTAAAAATATTTGACATCAGTTAGGAAATATCTGGTAAAAATCAAAACAAACAATTCGTCCAAGTTTAACGTTACGTTTGGACCAAGACGGAGGGGGAGCTGAAAGCAACACAGCTGTCTGCCGGCTAGCTATTATTCCGGCTGCAAAAGAGAAACTAACACAGAAGGAGGCTTTGCAATGGGGAGGGGAAGTGCTCAAATAATTAAAAGGACAGGACATCATAATTAAGAACTTGTTTTCATGAAACAAATTATAATCAATTTATAAACTCGTTGCAAATAGCGGGGGAGGAGGGAGAATACCCCAGGAAACATAAAGAGGTGTCAGAGGTTTCTGGGGGAGGTTTGGTTGGTAGAAGTAGAGTCTCGGTAATATGGCCTGTCTGTTTTGCCTGGATCTAGAAATGCAGCAGGATGCTGAGTAATGAACTGTTTTGTTTTTGTCTGCAGCTTGGAAAAAATCCTTTAACCTAAGACCAGCTCGCTCCTACTCTGTTATTCTACAACACCACCACCACTTAGTGATGGGACCAGTCCAGCTCCACTGCTGCAAATCAGCTCCTATTTCTACAGCCCCTGGAAATCGCCAGCCACTTCCCGAGCACTTTACTAATGTCTACACCGCTGTACGCCCTGTTGCCGGGGCTGATCCCCAGGGCATTGCGGTCACCCGGGAGAGAGGGTGCCGCAGGCAGCAGCTCCAGGAGGGAAGAGGGGTTTGCAGGCACCCCCCGCTACGTGTCTGGGAGGCCGTTACCTTCCCCTTTGCGCTCGAAGAGCAGAGCATTTCCCAGCAGCGGGTAACAGGGGCTGAGCCCCGGAATCGGCTTCAGCGCCTTCCACTTCCCCAGGTAACCCGGCAGCAGGCGGAACGTGAAGGCTGCCAGCAGCGTGAAGAGCAGAGTGACGGCTCCAGCCCCCCAGTAGAGCAGCCGGTCCCCCTCCTGGGGCAGCTGCAGAGCCCCCATCGCTGCCCCGACCCGGCCGCTGGGCGCGCACTGAGCCGTTGTCCCGAGAACAGTTCCCCTCTCCTGGAGCCCGAGCTGAGCGGCTGCGCCAGGGGACTCCAGGGGGCGGAGCTCGAGCCCCAGGGGCTGGGCTGGAGCGGGAGGCCGGGGAACAAAGTGGCAGGGAAGGGGGGATCTCTAGACAGGGAGCGAGCATGAGCGAGCAGAGCAGCAGAGGAAGGAAACGCGGCTGTGATCTATGGTTGGCCTTGTTCTCACTGTGTAAGCTGGGATCTGCAGGAGGTGACACGAGCCCACAGCAGGGGAAAGACCACGAAGGAGGGAAGCATCAGAGAAGACAGACTCAGCAAAGGCACAGACTCCATGCAACGCCCTCAGCTTCTGTTAGTGCCTCCAGCAAAAGGCAAAGTGTGACCCTAGGAGTAAATACTTCAGCTTTCAGCTGCCAAGGACCAGGAGCCGCAACTCTGAATGTGATACCCCTGAGCCTGTGCAGCCTGGGATCTGAACTTGGAGGGTCAAGTGAGGTCTCCCTGTAGTTGTCAGTGACCCTAACTACCACTGCTCATAGGTAGAGGGGTCAAACCATCTTTCACTCAGCTACTGCAAGGTCCAGGGCACAACTACTAGCCTCATGGGCAACACTGAGAATACCTTCAGGACACAGGCAATATTACATATGAGGGCAGGGTCAGTGTGGGAGAGGGACAAACTACAACAACCAAGTATAGTCATGAGTTGCTACCCTGTGGGGTAGAGGGCCCAGAGCTCGGTCCTCCAGCCCAAGCCTGGAAGTCTACACAGCAATGAAACAGCCCCACAGCCCAACCTGTGAGCCTAAGTCCACTGGCTCCCTTCTTAGGTCAGTGGAAGCACTCCTGGTGAGGATGCGCACCACTGACACAAGGAGGGTAGCTGGATGTGAATCACTGCAGAAATTACTACGGTGGCTGTTGTAGTAATGTAGACTGTAGTTAGATGAGGCCCTGAAACATAAACCCTTGTATCAGAGGCCTGGTATGAGGCGTAAGGCCTGAACTAAAGTAACGGTCAAGACTTTGTTAACATAAAGCAAAGTTAAGCTGTGAGCAAAAGGCAGGCGCTGCTCAGAATCTGGCAAGGAAAGGGCTGATGTTTCAAAAACACACATACCTAAAAGGTACTGGACACTAGAGATATAAACACGTGCCAGGATGGTACCAGAACACTCCGATACTTGCACATTCCACACAGACAACAAGGAACAAGCTGACCCATCCTAAAGACAGGGGCAGAAGGTTAATATGATGGATGGGGTTGTTTTGATCAAACCAACATGTACAAGGTAATAGGCTGCACCTTACTACGTAGAGGGGTTGTACCTCAGTATGTCAGGAGTGAGATGTAATTTGTTTGTACCTGTATATAAGAATGCACTCCTGAGGGGTTGTCTTTGTCTGGCATAGGGGGCAGTGGTAAATCCCATCACTGACTGAGCCGGTCCATTGTCAGGGAGCATATATGTACTAGTAGAGCTGTAGACATCTGATCCGGGGAGCTAGAGACTGTGTTTCGTTTGGCAATAAACCTGGCCAGGTGCCTTCGTACCTTATCAGAGTCTGTGGTCCTTGGGGTTTCTCTTGGGGTCTGCTGTGCCAGCTATCTGTGCAGAGCCACGGCAGCATGCAGCCAACCGTTATCAACATCGAATAGAGCAGAACACCACACTGGTGACACTTGACGACAGCTGTAAGCCAGCCGAATATAGGTCAACTTTCTAGCGTAGACATACCCTAAATCAGTGCTTCTCAAAAATTGCAGGTTGGCAACCCCTTATTTGAAGTCAACATTTTTCACAACTCCATTACATTTACTATAAAAAGTAAGAGTAAAAAATGTATAGATGGTAACAATCATAACCCTTTATAATTTATTTGGGTGCGTGGTTTAAGAGGTTGCCATAGAATACTTGACTTTGTAGATGAGGATATGTGGGGAGTGAGATTTTCTTTACTATAGATTGTAATAAAATTTTCAATGCTTTGTGACCCTCCCACCCCCCCACCACCACACACGCACACAAGGGGATCACAAGCCACTGGCTTAGAAAACACTAACCTAAATTGTGTAGGTAGTCAGACTAGAGATGATCATAATGATCCCTTGTGGACTTAAAAATCTATAACTTCTCAAAGTTATTGATTTTCTTTCTGATCTTAGTCTAGTCCTTGTTGTTGAGGTGCACAACTCCTGACATATCCAAGTAACTTAACAATATTTTAGTACATTAGTTAGAGAGAGATCCCTCCTTCAATGCCCTTAGTGAAGCCAACTCTGCTACATTTCCTCCATGATGAAAACTTGTCTCTTTCCATCCAAACGCACAGTTAAGCCTGTCTTTTTGACATTTCCTTGTGGATACCCAGCTAGCAATTTATCTTCAACATGGCCAAAATTGAGCTTACAATCTTCATTCACAAATTTTCCATCACAGTGGATTACACCACCATCCTCCCAGTCACTCATGCCCAAAATCTGGATGTCATTTTTGACTGAGCCCTCTCTTTAGAGGCCATCCAGGGTCTCTCCAAGTATCACCACTTCTCTCTGCATAATATTTCAAAGTTTTAGCCTTTTTCTGTCTCTCTGGATTGCCGAGGCTATTGTTCAGGCCTTCATCATCTCATGCTTTTGTAACGTTTTTGTATATGAAATAGAGATTATAAATTGTTTTGTACTTTGGAATAAGTTGTACTTTATGCCTTTACATTTGGTTAAGGTAGTTGACCATGTATTGGATGTGGAGTCTGAAATTCAGAATGGTGTGTCTGCCAAACAACTGCTCGACTCCATCTTTGTTTAGCTTCTTGTTGAAGTTTTCATGCTCTTTTGGAACTTTGGCAGGAAAGGCAGTTAACCATTAGCACAGAACTGGTTCCAGCAGGGGAGCTGCCAGTTTTACCTCAGAACTTTGGTGCACTTGTTCCTATATAAACTCTGAGCGCCCGCTGTCCTAGAGGCAGCCACGGTACCGTTGTATCTGCGCGGCTACATGGACCAGAAGATCAATATCTGAAGACATCAGCATTAAGAACTGTGACTGTGCTACCAATCTCTAAACCCCACATTATTTTCAGAGAAAGGTACAGAGGTCCTGTAGATCACACACCCTTGGGTGATCGCAGAGCCAAGCCTCTCTTTAGCATCAGCAGATCGTGTTGATCTCCCACTAAGAAGCAGTTGAGACCCAGGGTCCATCAGTTGGCTGTGACAACGGTGTCATGCCATCTATTGCTTATCAACACCTAGAAACGGTGGAGTATCTAGGGTATTTTGGTTTTAGGTTTATTTGTTTATTGCCAGAGTATCTGTTTGGTTGGGCCTGGATTTTAAATCCAAATTGTCAAACCACATCTCGCTGTTGCTTCTTATTAAGTTATCTGTTCTAAATAAAAGCTGTCATCTGTTTACTTTATTCTTCTCTCTTCTTTATCCATTTGCATCATGGAATAGGAAGGCACACTATCTTTCCCTTCTAACCCCCAGCTGATGGACCTTCATCCAGTATCTAAGATGCTGCTAATTAGCTGCAAGGGATAGCTGGCCTTTACCATCCTCACCATCACAGTTAACGTTGCAGGGTTAACACTTTCACTACTATAATCTCCCTTTCTCTGGCTTTGAGGCAAGACAAATTGCCTTCCTAAAGCCATTTAAAATGTTCCAGCTAGGGATTATCTTCCTGGCTCATCACTCAGAACTTCTGGGCTGCTACTGACAAAGTTCTAAAAATTTCTCCTATTTTAAGGGTCTAACTGACCACTTCAGCAGTCTGCTGCATGATCCTATTGCCACCTTTGAAAATCACCATGCCTGCAGCTTGCTGAAGGTCTCACATCAAGTCAGTAATACAGCTGGTGTGGTCCAGAAATACAAGTCAAGGGATACGAATTCTAGTCACAGCCTTGCCACTGATTTGTCTTGTGACCTTTGGAAAATCACATACCCTTTCTGTGCCTTTGGGATTTAAGGATACCGGTGAAGCAACAGGAATAATCTGTGAGATTGATAGTTAACTGGAGGGATTAGAGACAAGAACAAAAACTAAAATGAGATTCATCTTGGTAAAAGGTATACTGATGCCACACTTAACCCTGATTACGTCTGAATATTAAACTGAGGCTAAGGCCTAACTTCCTCGATCCCTGTAACTTTGTTTCAAGGGCAATCACAGTAGTTATCTTCCTCCCTACTTAATTGCTGTCCTGAGTAACAGTGGGGGGGTCTAGGTTGGCTATTAGGAAACACTGTTTCACTAGGAGGGTGGTGAAGCACTGGAATGGGTTACCTAGGGAAGTGGTGGAATCTCCATCTTTAGAGGTTTCAAAGGTCCAGCTTGACAAAACCCTGGCTGGGATGATTTAGTTGGGGTTGGTCCTACTTTGAGCAGGGGCTTGGACTAGATGACCTCCTGAGGTCTCTTCCAAACCTAATCTTCTATGATTCTAACATAACATGTGGGAAAATGGAATAACCAGACAGAAACACAGGATTAAGACTATCATAAAACTATTGGCCACATAATTGTGCCTCTAGCCTGCTTCGTGCATAATAAAAAGCCCTACCCTTACACGCCAGTGAGCTGCAGTAGCCAATGGGAGGGTGAGTATCTCTCTCTCTCTCGCTTGTTGGCATGCACATACACTCAGCCCTGCCGCCCACCCACCCCCGACGGTGATCACGCAGGCATGCGCCCCCAACCCCGCTCCTGTCTCTGAGGCTGCTCCAGGCACACTGAAACCATCCCAATGTGTAGAAAGAATAGTAAATATGGCAGGCGACCAGCTTGGCTTAACAGTGAAATCCTTGCTGATGTTAAACACAAAAAAGAAGCTTACAAGAAGTGGAAGATTGGATAAATGACCAGGGATGAGTATAAAAATATTGCTTGGGCATGTAGGAGTGAAATCGGGAAGGCTAAATCACACCTGGAGTTGCAGCTAGTGAGAGATGTTAAGAGTAACAAGCAGGGTTCTTCAGGTATGTTGGCAACAAGAAGAAAGCCAAGGAAAGTGTGGGCCCCTTACTGAATGAGGGAGGCA